CTCCCCGGAGCCTTCCGTGGGGGGTGGGGGGGATCCTCTATCCTCTGGCACAAGGCTGTCCCCTCACCCGCTCTGCCGTGGCCACCCCACGGAGCCTCATAGCACCTCCGACGAGCCCGGTTACGACCGGCGCAAAGCTTCCCGAGGACGAGGCTCCCCTGGTCCGTCCCGCGGCCTCACCTGACCAGGGTCTGGTTGTGCAGGTCCCACACGGCAATGTTCCCGTCGCTGCAGCAGGAGAAGCAGACTTTGGCATCGGGGCTGATGGCCAGGGCGTAGCAGGCGGGAGCCGAGGAGGTCAGCTCGGCCTTGATGCGGGGTGTGGGGGAGGCCAGGTCCCAGATGGTGAGTGTGCTGGCCTCCCCGCCCACGATGAGCGTGCGCCCGTCGGGAAGCAGCTTACAGGAGCGGATGTAGTTGTCCCTGTTCTGGGCAGAGAAGGGACAGTGTCGAGCTCCGTCCGCCTCCCCTCGCCAGGGACCAGAGGGGTCCCGTTCAGCGACGCTGAGCGCCCTTCGCCACCCCTGCTCACGTCCCGCCCTCACTCGTTCACCAGCCTTCCATCTTTCATGCACCTCCTCAAGAACCCCAGGAAGCCCGGGATCATCGGCACGTCGGGACGTTAAAACCGGGGCTCGGGGACGTCAGCCAGCTCGCTCGGTGGCCCGGCCAGTAGAGGGCCGCGCCAGGCTGCCCCTCCGCCCCCTGGCGGCGGAGAGGCCTACGGCCCAGGGTCCTCACCAGGCAGTCCAGCTGGGAGATGGGGCTCTTGCTGCCCGGCTGGCTGATGTCCCAGATCTTCACGCAGCCCTTGCCGCCTGTGTAGACGTGCCGCGTGGGGTTGCTGATGGTCACGGCGCACACCACCTCCCCATGGCTCAGCGTGTTGATCTGCCGGGCGTGCCGTGGGATGCCGGGGCCCGCCAGGGCGTCGTGGGGGAAGGGCACAGGCTGCATCTGCCCATCGGCGCTCACGTGAAACGAGTAGGCTCTGAAAGGGAGACGCGGCCCTTCCGTCAACCCCCCCCCCCCCCCC